AAGGTTCTAGTGATTTTGATAGTTTTTGATTAACTTAGAAATGATATATCTAAGATGACTCATTTCACCCATTCCCGCCGGGTGGCATGTACATACATGCCATGGCTGTTGTGAACCATGTGGCTGGTGGCATCCCATCATAACCAAACCCATGCTGTCGGGATTTATGGGTCAATATGAAATACATTTCTTGGGGAATGGAATGTTACTTAACCCATTACTGCTGGTATGTTTTGAAGCCAAAAATAAAAGTTTCCGGGCGGCTACAAAATCGGTGTGTGGGGCTGGCCCGGACTCTGCCCGCACGCCAGCTGCGGCCCGCTACTGCGTCGAGCCCCAATAGAGCATCACACTGGCAGGAAGCCCGGCAATTTTTTATTGATTATACTAATTGGTTTCCTTGCTGCTTCAAAATCAGCGCGCAGGCCAGTTCGGGAACCTGTCTGCTACAGGCAACAAAATCAAAGCTCACACTCCGATCTAGCATTGCATTGGCAGGACGCCCAGTAAAGTTTATTTTTCCGGGCGTCTCATGTGAGACATCTGGCACAAGTGGCGATAAGCCTCATTTTCTGGCAGTATCTATAACGGTGTGCGGGGAACAAAATCAGAGTGCAAACTCCAATCTTATGCCCCTTTTATAGCCATAGGAGTTTATTGAAGTTTACCCCTAAGCGTGCTCATAAAGCTAAAATGTAATCTCAGCAGGTGCTGGCAATGGTTTGACCTTTTAGTATAGAATCCAGACTCTCTAATTATGCCATGTATGTTTCAGTAACATATTTGCTAAGGTATGGTGAGGGTAAATCAGAAATTATTTTATAAAAAACAACTTTATTTTCTGTCTATTACTGAATGGTGTGCCATGCCTCAAAACAGCTGTACATGCATAGGGCCATGTCACAGTTCCTGCAGTAACTTGTGCTACTGCTCCTCTGACCCTGCTGCAAAAACCATTGACATCTCCAAATGGCATTAATGGTGTGTAGCTGCTGATGCAAACCCTGCCTCGCTGCAATGGGTGCAGTGCAACACCCCAAGAGTTCAGAGGCAAGGCCAGCTCTGAAGATCTGTGAAACCTCTCCACCTAGGGCAATATGGATGGCCCAGGCGTTGATGATAGCTATAACAAAGAGGAAGAAGGATCACCAACGTAAACACTCTTTTTGCTGATGTTTTCCTTTACTACGGATCTCTTATCTTATTCCATTGCGATGGTATGGATGGTAGACAGCATAGTAACAGTGTTGCAGTCCTTCTACATCAAGGCCAACAACCCTGTCTTGCTGCAGCAGTAATAGACATCACCCTTCCTCCTCACACTGAGGTCCTTGGGCATGAATTTCCTGTTTAGCTGGGCTGTCCCTACCGCATTTGTCCTTCATGTCTGCAACATATGGAAGAGAGATGGTGACATGTACCAGTTGTCTACACACAACTGGTATCCAAGCCCAAGGAAACCACCAGTCTCCATCAAATGAAACACCACTTTTGTGGAAGAGGGTATGTTGCCACATTCCTGCCCAGTGTACACCTTGTACCTGGGCTGGTATTGGCACAGAGCTTGTAGACCTTCAACCCGAACCTCACCTTCTTGTTTGGGTTGTAGGTCTTGTAAGCTAGTTGCCCATGGAATTTCCACAATGACTCATCAGTGGCGATCTCCTGCCCTAGGACACATCAAGAGGATGTGAAATTTTATTTCGATAATAATTTTTCACTCTCCTCTTCATTTTAAACTTCAGCTCCAATTTCTTTCATTCTTTTTTTTTATATGATAATGTCTTTCTTTCCCTCTTTGATGATAAATCCCCTACTTTTTCCCCATTTTTGACATCAACTCCAGTGTCGCTATTTGATTATAATTCCCCTACTTTGTTCTCCCTTTATTACGTCAAATCCCGGTAAATTGAAATAATAATGATTTCACACATTCTTTATGACCTCATGACGTAATGTGTGTAATAAGAAATTGTCTTCAGTATATCCACGTAGACCTAACAGTTGTTACTTAGGTCAATGGATTATGTCTCACATGTGAGACACCCGGAAGACCGCCAAAAAGCATTAAATTTCACCAGCGGAACACCCGGAAATGGTCCATGGTCTTATAGAAAGCATGTGAATTATGGGTTACAATCTTGTATAAGGCTGAATGAACCCCATTATCCCCACAATGCCTAGTATCCAACTCTAAGTCAGACAGGAGAAATTCAATGGAATCAGAGGAACAATCAAGACGTCTTAAGGGTGACTGCAGCAGATAACCACAAAGAAGAACCTTACTCAAATTGAGGCCGAATGAAAGAAAAGAAGCATTTACGAGTAACGTTCTCATCTTTATAAATCTTTCACTTACAAATGATGTTTATTTAACCCCTATGATCCAGATGAAGTTACGTTCCTGTCATGGAAAAATCAGGGTCGAGGGTTGTGTGATGTTAACATGCTGTCATCGGACAAAATGGCCGCAGGCTAGGTGACGTGATCTTGCCGTCTT